AGTAAAAAAAAAAAAAAAAGTTTTTGTGACACTGTTGAACTCATCTGTTAATATTAACTTCCTCCTCTCCCCACAGACAAGGCAGCTGGGCAGATCAGCATACAGTAACGGTGCACTATGTGCACATTCAAGCAAAAGGTTGTTCAGTGTCTCCCCTGGATCACAGGATGCTATTTGTGTGTATGTAAACCTTGGGTCTGGAGTTAGAATTAAAGTCTCTTCAGGCAGGTAATTCACCTCCGCAGATCAGTTGAAATAACAAGCTTAAACAGCTGTTTGGTGCCAAATACTGTTTTTAGGAAAGAAAAGTAGTTTTCTATTTGAAACATGATCTCAGTTTAACTTCTGTGCCTGGTTTTCCTAAGATGAGCAGCTGCAGACGCTTAGGGTGAAACAGTTAACAGGTTCAGTAGGAATGCAAATGTATGGCACCACACTAATGATACTGCAGAGTGGTGTCTCACATCTGATATTCCTCTTAATATCCCCGTTGTAAATCAGCATGATGTGCTCTAATGATTGTGAAGAGGTCAAGGAGACTGAGATAATGATCATCATGTGATCTTGCCTCTCCGGGCATGTCAACCCTTTTTATGTTCAAGATCTCAAATTAGGTTTTGTGTCTTAAAACACTTGTAATTAAACTTTGAGATCTTTTACCATAGGATTTCTGAGCTTGTCTCAGAAAGTCTTTTTTTTGGGCTGTTTTTTTTTTTTTCAAATAAAGAGTTTTTGCTCCTTGTTAACCTGTATTTTCCATTAGGTAAGTGAACTTTCCATTCTTAAGTTACCTTTGCAGTGGAATTTTTTTTGATTAATTATATTTGCTTAGATGAGACTGCTTAGTACTTTTTTTGAAAATCATAGGGAGCTGTGTAAGCATGGGAGGAAAGGAATTCCTTTTTGTGCTGTGGAAGTAGAAAAATGAAAGCTTTTGCTATGAATTATTTGCTCTGATATATATATATATATATCTATATATATATATCTCATTATATATATAATGAAATCATTAGTTCCTTCTAAGGGAGTTGCAAAATTTAAGGATCTGCTTTCAGTCTCAGGTAGTGGCTTTGTCAGGATCCTGTGGTGTTGTTCTGATTTATTGCAAAGCTCTGCAGAAATCAGACCAGAGAACATTCCATAGTACTTTTCCCCCCCCACCCCCTTAAGTTTTCTAAAATTGGGTACAAGGGGAGCAGGATCTCTTCTGCTGCCCCCATGCCAGCCCATCTCTCATGTGGTTTACCTTTGCCTTGTTCCAGTCTGGGGCAGATCAGGGTTTAACAATGCTGTGTGTCCT